AAATATATATAAGCTACATACTGCAGCTTTAAGATAAAAAACACAGCCTTATTATCGTTTTTCTGATTTAGTTTTAAAACAAAGGAACTGGAGAGAGAGAAAAAAACACTCCACTTCATTATTCATTATAATAATGAATATTATAATGAATATAATATAGCATGTATCTTATATATATGTAGCTTTATATATAAGCTACATACTGCAGCTTTAAGATAAAAAACACAGCCTTATTATCGTTTTTCTGATTTAATTTTAAAACAAAAGTACTGGAGAGGAAAAAAAAACAAAAAAAAAACAAACACTCCACTTCATTATTCATTATGAACATGAACTCAAAGCAGTTGTCCTGCTAAAAACTTAAATAATTTCCATCATATGGTGCTAAAAAGGAAACAAACAAAACATTAAAGACAGGGATACTTGGATTTCAGACACCTCAGTGATCTGTAAAATAATGTGATAAGCATTTTAAATTTAATGAGCGGATCAGAAATATACTTGTATATCTTCTACCCTGTAGTCTGTGATCTCTCAGTAGGTACAGTTGTTAAGCATGTGATCTCCAGTTATTCATACATCTAACATCTGAAACCAGCCTGTGAGTGTCATCTCCAACTCTTTTAAAAAATCTGCAAAGACTGAAAAAGTTGTGTAGTTTGTCCTCAGCTTAAATTTATCATCTTGATGAGTAGGCAGATCAGAGAATTTACAAGGAATGAGTACAGGATGTGCTAGATGAACACTCATAAAAAATGTTCGTTTGAATCAGGATATCTGTTTATGGAAGATGAGTGAGTCGACAGCTTCCTATGTGAGCAACTGAGTGTGTTGTCATAATAAACAACTCAGAGACCTCTTTGTCAGTGAAAAATGGCCACCAATTCTACTCACGCTCATCCTTATTGATTTTTTTCTTTTTAACTTGCTGCCAAACCTGTCCTCAGAAAACACATCTGAAGACAAGTCTGTTTACTTAGGGAGGGAACTGAATCCGACTTGAGCATAAATAACCAAAATATGCACACATGTCTTATGGAGTTTAATTTCTTTTGACTTCACAGAGGTAATTTCTCAACAGTGCGTAACACCTGTATAACTTGTATTGTTTGCATTCGGTTTTGCCTATTACACTCCGGGAATGACTAAATATTGTTCTAGTTTAATGCAGTCGAATGCTACTTTAATTTTAAAGCAACAGATGAGTACAGAAAGTACCCTTTGGGCATGTTGCATAAAGACAGATACTGTACATGTCTGGTTGCATTCAGTGAATCCATTTGAGTCCCACTAGTCATCTTTATGGACTTTGTTGTACTTTAGCCATGCAGCAAAAAGATCCTGGGTTTGACGATCGGCCTGGTGTCTTGCTACAGCATGTATGTCAACCCCATGCAGGCATGGGTTCTCTACAAGTTCCACAGTCCAATTGTTAGGTTGACTGATCTCTTCAAATTTCCCTCAGGTATGGGAGTGTGCCTGTATGACTATGTCTCCCTTTTATATCACTCTGTGATAGGCTGGTGACCGGTGATGGTACCTGGTGCATCAAGCTGAACTACTTCCACTTGGATTTTTTTGGGGGAAAACAATTCTGCTGCTCCTGAATGCAGTGGCTTAAACATTCTGCGTGCTTGCTGTCCTTTCTTTGCTTTCTTCCCCTCATAAAATAACTATGCAGGGTTTGGAGCATAGGCGAGATCCCTGTGGCTTGGTAGGCAGCACTTTTCTGAAGGTGTGATTATAACAGAGTCTGTCTGAAACCTAGGGATTTCTTTTTGGTGCCAGGCTCACCTGAAATACATGCTCCCCTACTGGCTTTGGTGTGAGTGATGCATCCCGGTTTACTGCAAGTACAAACCTCTGGCAGTGAGTTGTTCCCATCACGCCCACGTGGGAGGGTTGTAAATGAAAGTATCCAAGCAAAAAGCCACAAAAAAAAGTTTTTCTTATGCATGTCTGCTGCAACTTCGGAGTCTGCACACACCATCAACTCCCCTTTCTCAATCTCATTGTGCTGGTAAATTAAAATTCACGGGTTGCCAAGCCATCCATTCTTCCTCCACTGCTTAATTGTCTTGAAAATTGAGGGGATTACTGGGTGCTTTACGTATAAATAAGAATCTGTCAAAAATCTGGCAGAATACACTATGACAGACAAACAGTCATAGTGTTGATGTTTTATGAACTTTAGGTAAATGCCGGCATACACCTTGAAACCCACACTATCATATTCAGATTTTACTTTATTACAGCACTTTAGACAATGCACTTTAAACTGGTGAAATGACCAGTTAAATTATTGCAAACAAAATCTCATCAGTGTGCTTTACATTTGAACAGCCTGATCCGTCTAAGTTTGTGCTTTTACATTGATTACGTGTAAGGTTTTAATGGTCAGCTGTTGCAAAAAATGGGATCAAACCAAAGGGAGGTACTGCATTTCTTTGACTTAATAGCCTGGAAGTTTGTGTTTATGGCTTTTGTTGATGTTTAATATATTGCAGTGATCTCTTACTAATAAGACACCTGCAACATGTGAGGACATCATTGTGTGGGTCACATATCTGTAGTTGCATTTGAGCTTGTATGCAAATGTGCAGGTGTGCACTGAAACTACCCACTCCTCTTTGAGAGGGAGCCAAATGAGGCAGGGTGATTGCAGCCCCACCAGTGTAATCTCACATTGTAGAGTGCTCTAGCACAGCCCCAACTTTGACTACTCGGCTACTTTCAGGCTACCCCCTCCCACCCCCACCCCCCCATTCCACTCCTCTTTTCATTTCATCCCATTCTTGCTAAATGCAATTTGTTATGGCTCCAAATAAGTCCTGGGTTTTCAGTCTTTCCGCCACTTCAAACAAAGTGGTTCCTGTTATTGCTTGTCCAATTTGAGATTGTTTCCACCTCTCCCATCAACCACCCATTTCTCATTTTCTTCAAGTCTACGCTTGCAGTGATCTGTAATTGGCAGTGAAGACTTTAAATATGTTGCACAGGAGGTATTGTAGGAATTCAAGAACGTTTGAATGAATGCACAGGAATTAGATTTTTGTACCTTGAGGACTTCATTGGAATTTTTTGTCAGAATTACCTGATCAAGTATGCCAGATTCATTCACACTGCATTTATTTGTTTATATGTGTAAGTGTAAATGCATATTAAAGATAGAATAATATTGGTACTTTAATTGTTTCAATCATGCAGTTGTGCTGACAATACATAAATACTTGACAAAAGGGAATAAATCTCTTATTGTAACAAGAAAACACTGAATATGGGGGAGAAGGTTTGGTTTTACAAGTCACAGTACACAAATCTTTTGCCATTTGAACCAATAGTACTTTTGCCAAAAATATATGTATTGGGGTCAGTCACAAATATTTATTTGGGTAGTTTTAGGAAAAAACTTTTTTTTTTTCAACTTCTTGAAAAAAAGATCCTAGAAACTTCCCACTATTGCTGAATACTGTAAATGCTTGGTTTAGAATTGCTCTTTTGGAAAGGTTCTTGCTGGAAAAGGTAGCCTGCATACCCTCTATGTTCAAATAAAGCTTGTGAGAAAAAAAAAAGAACAATCACAGTATCTTAAAACAATAATTAAATTTGAAAAGAAAGTAAGTTTGCATGCTTAGCTTCTTAATGACTTTAAAAATTTATTGAGAGAAGTGTTTCCCTCCAACACTTTTCACTCTTATGGGATCTGTTGATGCTTGTGGATGATTGTTTTATTACCAATGCAGGCCTTCGGCAATTAGAAGGTCTTTTATTGTAGTTGTTGCTGAGAGTTATCAGAATGAAATAACAATATGGTTGTAATGATAATGACACAAAGAGGTATCAAAAATCTAATATGGGTTTGATGTTGGTAATGATGATAGTACTGTTGATAATGATTAAAGCAAATGGAGTTACAAGCAGAGAGTCAGATTTCCATGTACACATACACTATGTATTATTGTACAGCACCATGCAAAAGGATTACATTCTATTTTAACAATTCCTCAAATTTCTGTGAATTGTATTTGCATTCTATATGATAGACAAACACGGATTACTGCTGAGCATAATTTGAAAGTAGAACGGAAAAATCATCCATGATCCAAAAAATGAAAAGAATATTGCATAACTCCAAACCTAAATAGACATGGCTGCCTAATTAAACTGACAGGTTGGACACGGTGATTGTTATTCAGAAAAGCAACTGGAAGACGTATGATAATTTTGAAGGAGCTGCAGAGATCCCCTGCTCAGTTGGGATCATCTTGTGAAAGGCTTTGTTGGAAGTGTGGTGAGGAGAAAGTCATTGCTGAAAGAAAGCCATCAGAAGCAGTTTGCCAGGAGCCTTGAAATGGATACAGTGAACCCGTAAGCAAGAAGGTGGTGTGCTCAGAGGAGACCATTAATGAATATCTTGGTCTACTGTGGGAAAGAACTAAGTCTGGCCAGAGTTTTTGGGAGGATGAAAGGAGGTAAATACAGGGCATTTATATATTTAAAAAAATGTAGTGCCTGCAACAGATTAAGATCATTACAAAGACTAGCTTTTCAGAAGGACAAAACTAAATAATTCACCCAAAGCTAGAATATGACACTTTGGATCACAAGTTCCAGATCACAACTTCATATAATTATTTAGGTCATTATGGAGACTTTGTACAACTAGACTGCATTGTAAGGAAGCAATTCATCTATTTGATGTAGTGTATTGGACCAAGGACTCATCTCAAAGTTGAATGAGTGGAGCTTAGATCAACACATACTTATGTATAAGAATGGAGGTTATACTTTTTACTACCAAGTCCAATTGAGAAACTGTGGTAAGACTAAAAAATTTACTAGAATTCTGCTTGTAGGAACGTTATAGTTGGTACACTGTGCCTTTTCTTGTATATCAAAGCACATATCTGAGTGCCGATTCAGTATGTTTTCTATGCAAATAAATATTGTAGAAAATTATAATTACTCTCTAATCTTGGGCTTGAATGTCTATATTGCAGGGAATGATGTACCTGGAGGAGCGTAGACTTGTCCACCGAGATCTTGCAGCCCGGAATGTTCTGGTCAAATCTCCGAACCACATCAAAATTACCGACTTTGGGCTGGCTCGGCTGCTAGATGTCAACGAAAAAGAATATAATGCTGATGGGGGAAAGGTGAACTTCAGTGTCTTTCTCACAAACATTTGCAACTTCTCACAGTTAATTCAACACTTACCAGGACCATAATGTTTCCTGTTAATAAGTATCTTTAATTGCCGTTATCTTTTACTGTGTCGTTCAAATGCAATGAACCCTGGATGTATTATTTATTCTTCTTGTCAAAACACTTGACTATTTATTTGCTTTCTTTCAAAGACAACATAAAAAAACGGGCTTTGCAAAATCACACATCGGCACCCTTTCCCCTTTTTTGTTGTCTCATGTAATGTTGGCTTAAACAGCAAGATGGTTGTCAAGATTATATCAAAGCTTTAGAATTTTTCTGGGTCTTGTCTGCTGCTTATGATTCCTGACACCTAATATTTAGAGGTAAATGCTCATAGTTCAAGGATGATTTATTTAAGATCACACATTAGAATCTGCCAGTTTTCTGTAATTAGAGCCCAATACGATATTTTATTGTCTGCAGTTACACATGTTTGGTTTTGGAAATAAAATGGTAGACTATTTCTTTAGACTGTGGCATTGACAAGTCACAAAATGAAACAATGGGCATTAACATTAATAAGGGTTTCATAGCCTCCAGGAGGAGCATTACCAATCACAAAGGATGCTTTTTCTCAGCGTAAAATACTCTTCTGCTCTACTGAACCGTTTTATTTACCTTCGGGGGGAAGAGATCTCACAACCCTGTAAACGTAGTGAATAAATCTGTCCTTGGGGCTATGTGAGCACAGGTCTCTGACCCTTTCTAATCTTTGTTTATCCTTTCCCTGACTTCTGATTTGTTTTCAAACCATTTTTTCACAAGCGAGGATATTCCTCCTCTCTCGCTCCTAATCTTTTTTATGCTTACTGTGGTTTCTGTCGGTGATCAGTGCTGCGCATTTATCCCTGTAGCTGTTAAACAAAAGGCACACTAACCTTCCACATTTCTTCTCTTCTCAACCTTTATCACTGTAATCAATGGAACTGGCCTTCAAATCTAATCACAGTTTTAAGCTTGATCCCAGATCTCCCTTGTTTATTTCTCTTCTTAATTTACTACATCTCAGTCTGTGTGTGTGTGTGTGTGTGTGTGTGAGTGTGTGTGTGTGTGTGTGTGTGTGTGTGTGTGTGTGTGTGTGTGTGTGTCTGTCTGTCTTTTTCTGTCAGTGGGTGGTTAGATTGATATTGTGTGTGTGAAAATTTCCTCTTGATGTTGATTTACCCAAACCTTGTTTCCTTTTAATCCGCCATTACATTTTACTCTCCATCATGTCTGAAACAGTCATTTTACAATGAAACACTTCAAATCTACATCGTGGAAATGTTCTTTTCTTATAAATAGGTTTATTTTTAGCATATTTTATATAATACAGTAATACATGTTCCTACACTGCAGATGCCAATCAAGTGGATGGCCCTGGAGTGTATCCATTACAGGAAATTTACCCACCAGAGTGACGTTTGGAGTTATGGTAAGCCGCTTTTACAGTCTCCAGTAGCTGTGAGGGTTATTTTCCCCCTACTTGGTAGTTAACACCAACACAAGACACTGGCAGTGACATGTGCATAGCCTCTGTCCTAACATAGAGCATTTTCAATCAAATATTCCTTTTCCAATCATCTTTGTCTTCAAAGGTGTGACCATATGGGAACTTATGACCTTTGGAGGGAAACCATATGATGGCATTCCGACTAGAGATATTCCAGATCTACTGGAGAAAGGAGAACGTCTTCCTCAGCCACCCATCTGTACCATTGATGTCTATATGGTCATGGTCAAATGTACGTGCAAACAAAACGACGTAAACTATTTTTAACGTGCATAAAACAACACAGGTTTCAAAGAGTGTTTTGTATTTCTGATGCAATTGCACCATGCTTAAATTTCCGAGCCTTTTCCCCAAACCTCGGACTCTTCCATGATTATGCCAATCCTCAGATTCTTTTCATTTTGTCATATAATGTTTGTATTTTCTTTCATCTTATGAGTACCAGCAATAGTGTTGTACATACCAAAAATCTGTTTTTATACATTTTAATTTATACAACATATGTTTTTTTTTTTTTGTTTTTTTTTTTCTATTTACTCCAGATCTCAGAGGTAATTTGCCAGCAGACATTTTATTTGTGGGTATCTGAATCCATGCTGGCTTTGTAACAAACTCAATTAAAGTTTTGTGAGAAGAAAAACAACCTGTGGAAATCAATTAGCCATCCAAATTTAGATGGTTTTCTTTATTACACACATTACACTGTTATTTTGAATTTAAAATCAGGGCCAACTGTTTTCATGATGTTCATTCATTGAATGCTATTCAGCAATTATATGTATATCAATAAAAGCATAATAGAAAGTTAAGTTCACAGCCACCTAATGAGGAAAAATTCAAGTTTTGCCTTCCCACTGACTGAATGGTAGCACCAGCTTGTTGGCGTTATTTGCCAGATACTCATGGAATGCCATCAGGCAGCACTATAACATCTGGTTACTGTGGCCAGGAAAAAGACTTGCTGCCAGTTACAGACTGGCCCTGTCCACTGCTCAGTGACATGGAGCCTCTGGCTGTCATTGCCACCTTGACTTTTCCTGCCACCCTGAACTTGCGCCAACTTGGCAAGCAGTAGAGAGCAGAGAAATATCCATGTCACTGCGCTATTGTTTTCTTTCTTTTTGCACAATGTGATGTTCAAAATGCACATATGTGAAATGTGCTGATAAAGTAATGATAGGTTCCCTTTTAAACAGTTAATTGCTATCACTTTTTGTCTAATCTGTATTACTTCTGTATTCATTTCATCTTATTTCCCTTGATGCACAGATGAGGTCGAATCACATGATTGCTTTGGTGTCGTATCCATGTGTCCAACAGTAAAACTGGCAGAAGAGCACATTTCTCCAGATGGCTGTTCTAGTGATGAAAGAGTATTTATATTTAGGCTGAAAAAGTGACTACATGTAAAGACATGTTTAAATAGAAAATACGTAGTTGCTCATTTTTACACAACTAAAAATATTGCCTTTAGAGGAAAATATTTAATGTCCCTCAAGCAAGTTAAATGATTAACCGGAACAACAACATATCTACAGATGGACATGTTCTATCTGTGCAATAGATTATGTTATGCTAGGTAAAATTAAAAATATCAAAGTAAAAACACGACTAGTAATATTCTAGTAATATTAAAAACATATTCATTCCTCTTGAGCATTTCCAATTGCCGGTGTTGTTTGCAGCCTCTTGTGGGTTTTCTTTCTAAATGCCCCTATATTTAGCTCCATCCATCGTATTAGAAATCCTGACTACTGGAAGAAAGGAATCCACACAGCATGATGTTGCTACTACACTGTTTCACAATGAGAAACGTTTGTTCAGAATGACATTTAGCAGTAGTTTTCCACCGCTAACAGAGGTTTGCACACAGGCCAAAAAGGTACATTTTGATTTCATGTGACCAGAACATCATCTTCATACAGTGTATGACATACATGCTCATGCAAAACTGAAATTCTTTTTTAATTGTTTGCCACTCTTCTATAAAGGTCATACATGGAGCAATTATTCATAATTGCTCTTTTGACATTTTCCCACCTGAGCTGCGTGTCTCTGCAACTCCTTCCTTCACTTTAGGTAAAATAGGAAAAAAATAATAATAATCTTCCTGCTGCTTTACTATGATGAACTACTTTAGGCTGATCTGGACACATAAAATCCTACTGAAATACATTGACTTTGGTGGCAATGTGACATAATAAAATAATATTAAAATGGTTAGAGGGGTAAGGAACTTCAACAGGAAATGTGGTGCTTGTTCATGTTGGACTCAGCAGAATGTGAAAACTATTTTACATATGACTTATAAAGAATAAGTTCATCTTTATGTCTTTTGCAAATGCTGCTGAGAAAAGCATTAAATAAGCATACTAAGTACTAGGGTCAAACTTGAAGTCAGGGGCTAAAGGATTCATTATCTCATGAAAAATTAAAGATTAATATCTCCAGTGTGTATGTATATTTAATTCCAGTGGTCAGTATGTAATACAAAAACATTTTTTCAGGCTGGATGATTGATGCAGACAGTCGACCCAAGTTCAAGGAACTAGCTGCAGAGTTCACACGGATGGCTCGTGACCCCCAGCGATACCTGGTCATCCAGGTAGGTTCTCAGTAAATTTTAACAAAATAATATGAAAAAAAAAAAAAAAACTGTCATTGTAAAAGCTTGTCTGTAGTCTGTTGGGCTTATTCAAATCAGGTCTATGTACTTAGTTTTTATTTCATTAGAAGGTAAGGGTATAAGAGAAATGTTACCACAGAGGAAATTTAGCAGTCTGGAAAAATTTAATGCAAAGTCAGAGAACTATTAAGTAATGCACTACATTATTATTATTCACCATATTCATTTTGTGGTTACGTGAACCTGTGAATGACGCATCAACTCTCGTGTTTAAATAGGGTGATGACCGCATGAAGTTGCCCAGCCCCAACGACAGCAAGTTTTTCCAGAGCCTGCTAGAGGAAGATGAGCTGGAGGACCTGATGGATGCCGAGGAGTATTTGGTTCCTCACTCCTTTAACATTCCACCACTGGCATACACTCCTCGCACACGCATGGACTCCAACAAGGTAAATTATTTTAGGGATGTGCAGACTCCTCCGAGGAAAAAGGATCTGCACATTTTAGGGAAAAAGATTAACACACATTCCTTAAGGCAATGCAGTCACTAGTTTTAATCTCTATTTTAAAGCTTTTACAGACTTTTCATATTCATACGTGCCTCTGTTAGATTTCCTAATATTGTTTTTCTTTTTTGTTTTTTTTATCTTCCTGTCTCGAATGCTAGATCTCTTCCCTATTCTATTTGACTAATTCAGAAAGTGGAGTAAATGTTAGTTTTATAACAATTTAGATGCTGATTTTCTTTCTTAAAACTTCAGATTGATCAAATTGCCTGGACTAAGCCATACTGTAGTCCTATAATCTTCTGTCATTGTGTCAAAAAAAAAAAAAAAAACACTGCTCCACAGTATTTCAACTCTTGAACTTTCCCACAGTTTGTCTTGTCTTTATCATCTATCATCTATCATCTTTATCATCTAAAGGCAATGCCAAACCCTGCTTGAGCTGCAAGTTCAGTTTTGATCTCATCTGATCAGGTCACTTTCCTTAACATCTTTGCTGTGTGTGTCTCGTGGTACAAACACATTTTCTTGTTTGTAATAACTGTTTTCTTCCACCTCCTCTTCCATAGTGGGAAGGTCTACAAAGTGCACAGTTGCATAGAGAACGGTTGTTTTGAGTCTAAACAGATTCCCCCATCTGAGATGTGCAACTCTAGAGTTACCCTGGCATACTGTCTGTCTTTCTGTTTAATTCTCTCCCAGTCCAGCCTGTCAACTTAGCTAGGTCTTTGTAGGTTTGGAGTTGTGCCGTTTTCTTTTCATTTTCAGATGATGGACTGAAATGTGTTTTGACAGATGCTTAAAGCTGGGCTATTGTTTCATAATCAAACACTACTTTGAACTTCTTCATTATTGTATCCCTGATCTGCCTACTGTGTTCCCTGGTCCTTATTAAGGTCTGTTGTTGTGAAGTGAAAAAAAATAAATAAAATAAATAATGAAAGTACAAAAGGTAAAAATGATTGCAAAAAATAAATGTTCGATACAGTGTCCTTTAAATTCAACTCTTTCTAAAGATAAAGGCTTGTTTTCACTTTCAATATTACTTTTAGGATTTGCCTGTTGTAGGATGTTTTGCATATGTTTAGAATAATTACATTACACTGGTATATAGTTTTGTCAGTTTGCATAAAGCATGAATATGACTATATTGACTTCAATAATTTTTTTGCATTCTTATTTTTGTATGGGAAATATGGTCAGTTGTGTGCATATCCATGGATGGCACAATACAAAATAGCAAAAAGAGAAACATGTATGTGTCATGTGGGAAACTGTAAATACTGAAAGAAAGTACACTTATTAAAAAAAGTTAAAAAGTGCTTTAAATATGTTAAAATGTATGGCAAAACAATGTATGTACTTGCCCAGTCCTTACAGCTGTAAAGGTCTATATAACAGATTAATTTGAATACCCTCATGAAGAAAACAGAGCAGTGAATGAATAGCACATGCACCATTTCTAATCAGTTTTCTTGTAGGGGCCAAATGCCATATCATATTATATTTGTTCAACTGCCATGTGGGCTGCTAAGAAATGTTGATCAGAAGTAGAATAAATATCTACATCTTAATTAATTAGTCCAATATAATCCTAAACTGAAAATTCCACTTGACCATTGCTTCCCAATTTGTGTGTGCAAATACTCTTAACATGATCCCAAACATTAAAAAGTTTCAGCCTTTAAAAAATAAGAATGAAAATAAAATTGAAAAAGTCAAACCTTTGATGAAAATGAAGGAGCTGAGATAAGTTGATGTGAGGCTTTCCCAGAGATTTAGTAGAAAAAAAAATATTTTTCTTATGAGCACAGACACAAATGTGCGCAGCGGGCCTCAGCTGATATGGTTGCTTTAAGTTTTTAATTAAAATTATGTTAATTAAATTGCCAATGGTCTTCAACTTCCATATCATTGTTATGCAAAGTTTATTTTTGTTCCTTTTCTGTTTTAGTAAAAAAAAATGGAAACCTTAGCAAAATACAGTTTTTAACATGGAATCAGGTTTAACATTAGATCAGTCATTCATTTTTTCACTTTTATTTATTTGTATTTATAAAACAAACCGGAAGAAAATAGCTGTTTTAATATTTTAGACGAGTTAATCAAAACCTCTAATGAAACAGGGCTACAGCTAAGGTAAAAACAAAATTACTTTTTGTATTTGCTTCTGTCTTGCAAGTCTTGTTTGCTTTCATATTGTCGGTTTATTTGTGTCAACAATAAGTTTTTAATTTTTATTGTTTCCATCCAGAATCAATTTGGCTGTCAGGATCCAACTTTTACCATGGGGGACATGCTGGCCTCTCTGCCTAGAGTGGGTCAATCCATGTCTGGAAGCAGCCTCCCTTCACAGGAACTCGCTGCAGGGGCCCAGATCAGTGGTGGATTTAGTCGTGGCAACCAAGATGACCCTCGCTGTAATGGCACCCTAAGAAAGCAGGCCTCCCCAAGGTCAAACACCGTTGGTTCAGCTCATACTCCAGGACAAGGTAACGCCTGGCATCCCATTGCTTTCGAACAGCAAAATGTTTTCAACATCTCAACATATAGACTCTTTAGCGGAGTGGACCAAATACCATGCAGACACACTGCTACGAGTCTTTTGTATTCTGAAGAAGACAATTGTTTTATTATGTGTTGTATTAGCACCCTTATAGAAATAGTTGTTTTTAAAAATACATAGACTTTTTAGTTAAGTTCAAAGCTGCACACAATACTCTTCAATTATAAATTTGTATGTGTTCATTTGTAATATAGAAAAAGATTGTGTTGGTGTAGTACTGAATATATGTCATTAATCTACATTATGCAAACCAGTATATGGTTACTCATGGTAGTTTCTGATAAATGTGTTGCCCAGCTGTGATTTAAAGATATAAGTCACTAAATTGGGATTGACAGCCAAATGTTTGCCATGGTTTACACACCAAGTAAACCACCACAAAGCTTAGTAAAATTGTGTCATATTTGAAATTTTAGTTAATAGCTGTAAATATAAAATGATCAACTCTCCATGTTTGACTGAACTATAACTTATTCATAAATTGCTGATGCAAGCAGAGGAGTATTACATAAACTAATAAATTCAGGTCATAGAAAACAGAGTGCTTAACAATAGTTTGTCAATGAAAAGGCAAGTATGCACAAGAATGAACTTCTTTTTAAAACATTGTTTTCTGGTGGAAAAATATTACTTGCATGAAAGGGTTAGCGTTAGGTTGAACAATAACCCTTTTCTATACCTCAGTTCCTATATTGAATGTAATATCAATCTTTGCTTCTTTCCTTGTTTGCCTCTCAAGGTGGAGGAGAGGAGACAAGCGGACAGCGCTACAGTGCGGATCCTACTGGTCTTTTATCAGAACGAGGTGAAAAGGGAGACAAGGATGGCTACATGGTTTCCATGAGAAACAAGAACACCTCAGGTTAAATGAACAGCTTTAAAAGAGAGCAATGCATAATTTAAGAGACAAAATGTTTTTATAGAACTTTTTATATTGCATGATTTATGTTTTCATTGCTGTAATTGCCTGTATTTATATATTTACACATTTAACTGGTGGCTTCTAACACTGGGCAGAACAAACAGATGTATCTTTAATCCCCTCTTTTACTTCCAGATCATCTCCATCCTGTTGAGGAAAACCCTTTTGTCACACGCCGTCGGAACGGTGATGCCCGCGTAGTGATAGATGGAGCAAGTTGCCACACCTTGCACATAGCTGGCGCTGCCGCTGCCCCGAAAGGCCAGTCTGCCCATGGAGACGATGAGTACATCAATGAGCCACTGTACCTGAATACATTCCTTAGCCCTGGGGACAAAAATGGATTAGCTGGTGCCATTTCCATCTCTGGTTCTTCGTCCTCTACTGCACAATCAGTCCTGCAGACAGCAAATCCATCCACATCAAGCCACATCGTTTCCTCCACTGGATATGTGGTAACTCCTGGCTTACTCCCCCACCCGACATATCCATCACATACCTTGCATCCAGGGCATTCAGGACACACACTACACTCAGGCATCACCAGTAGCACAATGGCATTTGATAAGAAAGCCAAGAAAGCAACTTTTGACAATCCTGAGTATTGGCAGCACAGTCTCCCTCCGAAGTCCACATTGCACAATCCCGAGTACCTGCAGGACTGCAGCACACGTTTCTTCTACCGGCAGAATGGACGCATTCGCCCTGCTGTGGCAGAAAACCAGGAATACTTGTCTGAGGCTGCTATGAAGGCTGGCAATGTGTTGCCACCACCTCCGTACAGGCAGAGGAACACTGTGGTGTAGTGACCCACCTGTAGCATCTGGAGATTAAAAAATCATGTCTTTTCAATGCCGTACTTGCCCTCCGGGGTCCTCCTTGCACCTTTTCTGGAAACTTGTCATAATCATTCTATTTGGAAGTCTTCTATTCTCAGTGTTTGAATCTGCCTTTCCGTAACAGCAACTACAACAGCTGTCAGTGGCAGCTTCATCTAAGACTTAAACCATCCTTTTTAAACATGACTCCTAAACTAGAGGATCTCCTTCAGGGATGGATCTGATTTGACCTGCAGAAAACTGTTCTGGCATCTTTAACAACAGAACAAGAGCAATCCAAGAAAAGATTACATCAGTGTGTTATTTAAAAAACATAAGAAATAACCTAATTAGGCTAATTAAACTAGTTAGTCAGACGAGGAGTATTTTCATTGACACTGTGAGATTGTTAATGAGCCCATGAATCATTCTTCTGTATGTTTTATATATTTTCTAATCAAACTAGTTGTGTACATGCTTTTGTTTGAACAGACTTTTTACATTGGGTTTAGGTTATAATGTGAAACACGCATTCAGGTTAGAATCTTGACTTACCAACGAAACTGAAGTTATGCTGAGAATACCTAAAGTAGCTTTTATTCCCACAAACTCACTTCTTTTTCTGTCCCTTTCTTAAACAATTAAACATGTCAGACCTGGGACAAGCCCGGAGGCCTGGGAACAACAAAAGAAAATTTGTTCACACGCAAACACAGTAACATGTACGCCTGCAACCACTTGAAATGTATTGTGGAGCAGTTTGATCATCTACTGAAGCAGCAGAAAACAGGAAGTTGTGAAGAGCAGAAGAAAATATTTCAACAAAATGCTCAGTCGCATTGTTTTGAGCTTTTGGCCCTGTCCAGAATGATATGATTTTTTTTTTTTTTTTTAATGAACATTTTCCACAATGGAAATGTTTAAAAACTTCATTCTGTCTCCAACAGTACTGCAGCTGTTTTTTTGTTTGTTTGTTTTTCTTCTACCCCCTCACATCTGTCTTACGTTATTCTGATTCTGTTTGATTTAACCTTTTAATGCAAGCTCATGAAGTTAATGAGTAAGAGGAAAGGGCATCGAGTGATCACAAAAGCACAATCTACAGCAGGGACACTGCATTGCATTCTGGGAACATTGGAGACTTACTGTCAACTCCAGTCTACAGCAGAATATATGCAGCTGGAGAGTGAGACGCACTAACAGGAAAAAAAAAAAACACATGCAAGAACTGTTCTACTTATTGTAAGACACAAAATAAGGCTTTTGCATCCACATATAAGAAGCAAATACAAGCTTATGGAAAAAGATTGTTTGGATTTTTCTTGCATACATACATTTCTGCTGAAACTCTTGAAATTGTATCATTTGTCTCAAAACAAACAATATGAAAGGCAGTTGCTGTCGTATGTGTGTGTCATCTTTGGTTACAGAGCACATATTTACACACATTAGAATTAAGATAAGTAATTTACATAACTCATGGATGGACTCTACCTTTATTTGTCTTATTTCAAATTTAAATGACTTTCAAATCATTTTTAGGAGACAGCCTGTTCAAACTTCAGGCATTGGGAAAAACTTTGTGGGGTAATGTAATTTCTTCACCATAGTCATGAGCACCTCCCAGGTCTTCAAGGTGTGCTCCTGTGTGATGTCATCATCCCATTCCATAATATTTGTGGAGAACCTTTAGCCTAGCTCTGCTTTTGGATTTTTGACTACACAATATTAGCCTCATTGTTGCTGCCATTGATGTTACCTGCCGGCATGACATAACTTTTACATTGACATTGATTGAATCACACAGTTTGCCTAGACATGGGCTTTGTCAAAAACAGAAGACAAAAAACTATCCCGAATGGTGTAGCAATGATTTGTGATCAGATATGCCAGCTATGTTGGGGTTTTAAAAGAGGGATTGTTCAGAAAACAGTCCTTTATTTCCTTATGTTATTTTACATCATGTTTCCTCTCTATTATACAAATATATCCAGCAAATAGGGCCTCAAACCAACCAAGTCAATGTTTGATTTGGTGCCATGCATGAATGATTACTTTAATAGGAGACAAAGATTTTGATTTTGGGGAACCTTTTAACTCTGACATATTAATAAAAAAATGTACTAGGCTAGTTTTTGTTTATTAAACCACAAGATTTTTATTATGTTCCTTATTTAAATGACAAAGGTGGAAAAAAAACCTGAATAGTCAACAACCAAAACAGTCTGTGAATATTTCTCTTAAGAGCTGTAATAATGAACCGATTACACGTCATTACTATACAGAGAGGGAAAAAAAGACTATATGAACCAATCTGTATGTGAAGAGATGTAAAAGCACATCAACTACAGCAGGTTTTTGCACCACTGTGTTTTCAGAAACACTGAAATGAACTTGGTATTATAGTCTGCTCGAGAGTAGACTTTTTTTTTTAACTTTTTTTTTTTTTTTTAATTACTCACGACCAGTAGTATTTACCATCAAAAAGACTATGAAGCCTTTCTTTGGCACAGTTGTTAATTAAAATATCCTTAATGTTCTGGGACAGCTAAATAACTAATGTTATTCTTGCTCTGAAGGCAATTCATGCATATGTTTTTATATGATGCAAGTATAATTTAGCATTACTACTATTTTCATTTCATCAGCATTTTGCTAATTAAGTTTTAGCACTTTTGAGGTATAGCAATGTTATATAAGAATGAGTGACACATTTTAAATCAGGGAAATATCTTGAAAAATTAGCTCTTTAATGAATTATTTGGTTTTTAATATTGCACTTTTTGTAATATGGGTGGAAGGCTGAGTTTTCTTAGTGTAGGGTCACTCCACCAAAACAGAAACCCCCTTTTTCCCAATCCTTCTTTATTAAAAACATTTTAACATATTTTAGCTTTTGTTGTATTTACTACATAATCAACTTTGGAATGCACATTTTCTTAACAGCACATTTCCACTCACCTAATAGACATTAGCAAATGTACATCACACTATGAACAGTAAGTAAATATTTTCAGTACACCGTACATAAATACAAATTCTATTAATTTGAACTGGATATATTTCAAGCACTCTTTGACCGAGGAAGCAGTTAACATAGGATTATGCTCTTGTCAGTAAAACGGAAGAGCTACAAAGATGTAAGAAAGCATTTGGTTTTCTTACATGTTAGTAAGAGACAATAAAGAGAGTGGAAATTGATTTAAAATGGCATTGTTGCAGGGTTTATTGTGGAGAATTTCAGTGCTATTAAGGAGTATTTTTTTGTTTTTTTTGGATGCTTCTCTTCCACTTTTTTTTATTTTTTTTTTAATAAACATTTTATAATTCTTATTAAGACTCTTACCAAGAATGTGGTCTTCTTAGTAAGAAGACCACATTTAATCTTAGCCATTATTTAGATGAGTTTAAGCTTCATAGCATTTTAATTTCATAAGGATTACAGCTAAATCTATACCATTCATGATCTAAATGCTTTCTAAAACTGGTTTAAAACTTCTGAGTTTGTTTTAAAGTTATATAAACTTAAAGATTGGTATTTTTACAAAATACCAATGGATATCTATTTGTATGGATATCTAAGCACAATATGAAGAGAAGGTTATATGCCACACAGACTCCAATACATGTCACATGTCTAAAAATAATCAGATTCTTAGTGACAAAACAAAGTTGAGCGGGGAAAAAAACCTATGTATTAGGTCTATTACAGTTTTGCAAGCTGTGCAGATGAATGCAAGATCGAAAAAAGTATCTCCAAAAGTGAGGCAGTGCACCTTGTTGAGAGTGTACCTATTAAAATGAAAGAGACTACCAACATCTTGAGTTTTTGTGACTACTTATGATGATTAATAGAAGCTGTGGTCTGGACTTGAGCCGATACAAGGCTCTAGTCTTGCATTGGGACATCCCAAGTGAAAACTAGACTTTATTATGTGACCCATTGCTGAACCCATGAATGTGAGCACATTTGCAAGACAAATACATGTATCCTAATTGCACAATTTGATTAAATAATAGTAAAATTCTTTTGCTTCTTTCTAAGCCAATTCAGTGCTGGACATTTTCCCATTTGCCATTTTGAACCCTTGCAGTATGCGTAATTTTGTACCTGACTTTTTAGAATTTGAAATAGTGCATTTCTGCCAATGAACATTTTATACTGAGCAAATTTTGATCTGTTTGCAGCATGAGGAGATTTCACAGCTGCTTTCACACTTATATATATGAAAGCCAAGCTTGAAAGGCAATTTAGATATATGACTTCAGTTAATAATAATATTTACCAGCAAACAGAAAGGCACTTATAATTAATTTGTGTTGCTTTTGTGTTGTAGTCATATACTGCCTGACCCAAAAAAAAAAAAAATAGTTCCAACTGAATTTAACTGAGCAAGTAGGGATGAGCGTCCCATTGGATGGTTACTTCATAGACACTTGCCTTCCAGCTGGCAACAAAATATTCAACCCCAACTGATACAATGAGTATATTCTCATTTCTGAATGAGGAAAGACACATTTTATGGTCATAGAAAGGATGTTAGTCTATTTGAAAACAATTGGCATTAAGCAAAGAAAACAAAGGAGATTGCAGAAACTACTAAGCCTGGGTTGAGAACCATCTAAAGCATAATTAAAAACTGGAGGTACATTTAAAAAATGAGTGCATGCACAAAAACAAAAACAGAAATTATAGTCACGAAAAGAAACTGAAATAGTAAGGAATACAATTTCAATGCATAGTTACTAAATGGGGGTGAAATAACACAGAGCTTATAGTCTGTGAATAGTGATGTTTTGCTAATCACGGGGTGTTAACAAAATGACATCACATGCACACCATCAAACTCTGAGGATTGAAATTGGCTACTGGGACTTGACAAGTTTCCATTTAGGATGTTTTGAAGAGTAAATATACTATACTAAATAGCATTTAAATAAAAGATGTGTGTAACCACGCAGACTAGCCTGATGAACTTTTTTATTGCTATACAACAACGTACAAGCACTCTTGCACAACCTGTGCCTCTATATTAAAGATTCAGATAAGCAGCAAGGGTGATTTACTACTGTACCATGCACAGATGTTTCCCTGGCAGAATCTTTTCTTTGCCTCTCAGGTTTTATGGGGAATAATAATCATCCAATTGAGCTCCAGCTGAGACACACGTTGCCAGATCATGAAAGGATGTTAAACCGAATGAAATAAAAGTATATTGGAAGATAGATTGGTGTCATCACACCCCACTAGATGAATGCATTTCTGTTGACTTGTGCAACCCAATGACAATGCGAATTCAATGGTGAATTTCAAAGCATTAGTTACCGTATTGCTACTCTACTCTGATGCTAACCCATTGATCTGTTCTATATCTGCTAATGTTTTGTCCAAGGTTATGATTATTCTGCTTACTTTATATGAACAATCACCTTTGCCTAAATTATTGTGTAAATGAGTTGTGTAGCAATGTCCTCTCGGTGTTGAAAATTCTATTTTGTAAGCTTATCATCTATGAGACATTCATAGCAGAGCTTGTAGACCACTGTATGACCGTGCATGTAAGAGCAATAAGAGCAGTAAAGAGTCACCATTAGGGATAGAAATGGTTCTCTTGAGAAAAATAAACCCAATCTATGAAAGAGAAAAGCTGCTGGCTCTCTCAGCTGGCAGCCATCGCAGGGGCTTTTAGCTTTTTGAATGCTAATTTATCTACTTTCTCCTTGTTGTTCTACGGGGAAATCATGTTACCCAACAACTCACTCAGTGCACCAGCTGAGAAGCCCTGGACAACAGGCAGTTGGTTGTAATCTTGCAGCGAGGTTAAAACTACGGCATTGGCATTCAAGAAATGTACCCAACCAATGCATCAGTATTACAAAAGCCAGGAGGGTGGGAGGTGTGACCGCAATGAAACTAGCAGAGTTAAAATGCCACTGTTTATGTCTCTTCAGAAGTGACTGTTGAATTATATGTAGCAAACACTGCAGAAGGCAGAAAATACTGGAAAGCAGAAATTAGTGGAGTAAAAACAAAAATATGGTGATTGTGGTCAAATTAGTCACTCACAGGGCCATATGAACATCTTTAAATGGATAATAATTACTTATTGACTACATGGAGTATATGATAACCCTTTTATTTATTTAAAATATGTTTTCCTGTTTGTTGGTCTGTGTCAGTATTGAGCATATTTTAATAGCCCGTACCTACATGTTTTTTTTTGGGGGGGGGTTGTATTGTTTTTTCCTCTCATTTGCACTTCAGGGTCTTATAGATTTTTAGTATCAACCTGCATCATCCTTGTTGGAACTACTGCATAGCTGTTATATTTTGTCGTTTATAGCAACTCAAGTCCATACCCAAAGATCATTGCTGAAAAAAGTACTAGACATTGTAATAGATATATTTAGGTGTTCCTCATGAACCTGTAACTGTTTATTGCTGAATCTTTGCCTTTGGAAAATGTGAGCAACACTGTCGAAGAAAGTTTTCTCAACATCCAACTTCTGTAGTGTTTTGTCAAGTTTCTACCCAAACACTTACTTGACTTCTGACAGGCACATAAACCAGGTTTAACTTCAACAGTTTAAAAGTTTAAGTAACGCAATTCTTGTAATACCTCCTATTACAAAGTTTACGTTGACCATACATGATCAGATATTGGTGCCGCCTCTCCTACCGCCAACCTTTCAAACCTTGCTGTAGATGCTTATATTTGGTGTGTAAAAGTTTATTCACAATTTAGGTTTAAAAGGGATTTTGCCATAACTGACTCACGTCTTGATGGTTTGCAATGATAAAGCTGTTACTACAGCTACTATCAGACACAAAATTAGGCAGC